TAGGGTTTTAGGGCTCAAGGCTTTAGGGCGTAAGGCTTAAGGCTGTAGGGCTCAGGGCTGAGGGCTTAGGGCTCCAGGGCTCGCGGCTGTAAATAGGGCTCTTAAGGCTCAGGGGCTGCAGTCTCACGACAGTAATCCCAGTCGACATATGGTGGATCCGTTGCACAAAGCCTGATTGAAGCCCCCGGAATACATGTGAGTGAAGGCTTGGTTTCTATTGGTGTTCGCGAAGCGTCGACAACAACGTTTTAAACTAGAATCTGGAATTGCAAAATGCGATCCCGGCAAGCCGCCCACTCGACTTCAGGAACTGCTCGCGCAAGTCATAGCCGAAACAGTTTCACCGCGTGTGCTCCAAGCAAGAAGGCAGCATGTTTGTTACGGAAGCACAGTGCACTACAAAATAGTTCTCCGTCAATAGGACCCCTTAAAATATACCCCTAGTGTAGGACCCCTTGAAGGACCTTCATTATATCATAAACTTGACATGCCTTAGAAACTACTATAGGGGCCTTAATAATTAGAAGAGGGTTTCGGGGTATATTATACCATAATTGTAACAGCGAGCCCCCCAAAACCCTATTCCAATAATTAAGGCCCCTACATTACAACCCTTGCTCTCATTTCGATGGCCAAGCAGATGACCGAAGAGAACTTTCAGTTAATATAGGGGCTTTAATAACTACCCATACTATTTTGGTGGGTCCTTACTATAACTATGGTCTAGTATACCCCAAACCCCATTCCAATCATTAAGGCCCCTACATTATGCAGCTTCGGCTCTATGATGACTCTTCGGGCCTTTGGTCAAGCAGGGGGGTAAGAACACGACGGTCCTTAAAGCGGCCTGATTTAGCACATATCAGGTCCTTATTAGGGGTTTTGAGCCCGTAAACCCTCCACCCTAAACCCTAAAAAAACAAACCCTGAACCCGAACCCGTAGGTACTTATGACCGCTTTGGAGATCCCTTAAAAGTCCTTAAAGAAACTATTCTAAACGGCGCCAAAAGAGAACCCCAAGAAGCCTCAGACCCTTTAGAAAGTTTCAATCAAACAGCTCCGGAACCTCAACCCGTCTAGGAGCCAGAAGATTCATTAGGGTTTAGAGTTTGGAGTTCAGGGTCCTAGAGCCACAAGATTTAAAAGTACCCTGAAAGACCCCGGTAGAACTTGAAAGGGACCCGAACAGAAAGCCCTTTCAGGAGTACTGCACGCTTAGCTCTTGCAGCGGCCGAGCATACCTTTGGCGCTGGCAGCCAGAGGCACTTAGGGTTCAGGGTTTAGGGTTTTGGGGCCAGGGGTTTTGGGAGTGTGGCGCTCGGTCCAGGTGCAGGCTTTTGATTTCGTATTGACTTTGAGTGGGCAGGCCGGATGATTGAAGTGTTGCGGATTAAATCTATGGAGGCTCTTAGTCGTGAACGCAGGTAAGTTGCGATATTAAATACGGCGCTGGCCCACAGCCACTTGATTTTCCAGGGCTCGGCGATGGGTTGGCAGAGGCGGCCATTAAAGCCGACAATAACTACACACATCTTCATCATCATCGTCACCATCAAAAGGGTCATCCCGTGTTCGTTCATGGTCCGATGTGTTTATCTCAATCGTTGCCGTCAGCGTTCTGGTCATCCTCACCAATACTGTCACGACGGTTTGTCACGACGGTTAGTTATAGTATGTTATGATCATAAAACTATTGTCATTATCTTCATCGCCTCAGCGTCATCCTCCTCGTCATCATATCGTCATGGACATCCTCATCCCCCTCCTCCTCATTATCACCGTCATAGTAATCACTGTTGCCGCTGTCAGTCTGACCATCAAAACCATCACCGTCGCCGTAGTGACGTTGCATACATGGCAGACAGCACTTACATGCCACGGCCGTCTGACTTTTCCAGGTCCCTAAACTCTAACCCTAAACCCCCTTCAAGATCTTCACAGAACCCGGTCCGGGGCTCTTCTGAAAGCTTTCAGTCGGAGGGCTTAGCCTTTCGAGACTTGGGTCTGAGGCTCTTCAGGGGTGTAGGGTGAGAGTGTGCATCTTTTTTGGGCTTTGGCGGGTGTGGCATCTCCAGATCCCGGACAGACCACAAAACCCCCCAAAACTGCTTCAATCGCTGCCAGAAGGACCTCTTTGATCACCGTAGCTCAGGCGCAAAATAAGGACCCGGGACTCCTTGAATCCTAGGCAGTATTAAGGAGACCCCTTAAAGGGGACCCTTCTTCACCCTACTTTGGGCTCTCTGAAAAGGAACCTTATTGAGAGGGTCTATGTCCCGAAGGGTCCCCCTAATCCAAACTCCCGTTGAAGGCACCAAACTCGGAAGCCCCTCATCCAGTTCAGGAGCTTGAAGGTATGCAAGAGGAGACTGAGATGGAGCAAGCCACCTTTCAAACCTACTGGCCAAGCAAGAATCTCGGCTGCATCCCCCCTAAACCCTAACCCCGATATCCCTTTACCCCTAAACCCTAAACCCTACCCCCTAAATCCCTTTACCCCTAAACCCTAAACCATAAATCCCTTTACCCCTTAATCCCTTTTTACTCCGAAACCCTCGATCCCGAGACCCCTAAGATGCTTTGGGCTGTCAATGTTTATGGATCTGCCTGCGCAATACATCCTGTGCATAGAAGAGCTTACGCTCGTGTTTGGACGGACGTCTCAGAGATTCCTATGAAGTTATCCAGGGATCTTCAGGGTAAAGCGTCCTACTTTCCTTCAACCCTGAGTCCTAAATCCCCGTTTTGAACCATTGGGCCCTTGTCTGTAAAAGTTCGTAAGACCTAAACCCTCTTCTCGAGATGTAGATAGACCTAAGCCCTGAACCCCACAGACAGGAACAACCACAAACAAGCATATTTTAACCATGCACAACATGAAAACTGAACAAAACTAACAATACGATAGTAGACATCCCCAGACCCCAAACCCTAAACCCCTAATCCCAAACCCTAATCTCGAAGCCTTAGGCCCAGATCCAAAACCACTAAGCCGTAAATAACCGCGAGAGAAGGATCCCCCTAAATCCGAAACCCGTCGTAAAAAGAGCTCAAAGCAACAAAAACTCTGAACCCCTAAACTCCTAAACTCTGAACCCTAAACCGCCTAAACCGAAGCATTTGGCTGGTTCTCTAAATTAGGGTCCCCTTTTAGGTCCCCAAAATAGTACGGCACCCTAATAAAAAGGGCCCCTAAAACGGACCCTAGTTTTAAGAACTTCCCATTTGGCAGGAAGAGGAGTGCCCACGCCTACTCCCAAACCTGGCGATTCCACGTCTGCCATCGCTTTGGCGATCTGGATCTCCCCAGCGGCTTGGCCCAGTTCTTTGGGGGGGGCTCTAGGATCCATAAGGTTTATAGGGTCTATAAGGTCTATAGGGTTTAGAGCTTATAGGCTTTAGGGTTTGGGTGGTATAGGGCCCAGTAGTACCCTTTTGCCCTTTTTATTTGGGGGGGGGGTCTCCTTACTAAAGCCGAATCTTACCCTTAATACTAAGGGGTTGCTGGGGAACCTAGTTCTCTGGCGGGCTTTAGGATCCACAAGGTTTGTAGGGTTACTAAGGTCTGTAGGGTTTAGAAGGGTTTACGGTTTGGGTGGTATGGGGTTTGGGGTTCAGGGTCTCATTTGGGTTTAGGGGTTGGGGTCTATAGGGTTTGGGGTTTAGGGGCTGTTTTGGGGTTTGAGACCTGTAGGCTTTATAGGGTGACAGCAAAACCCTACACCCTAAAGTGGTCAAAGGACAAGAAAATTTTTAAGGAACCCCAGAACCCCTTAAAGGAACCCTTAAAGGAGCCCTTAAAGGAACACCAGAATCCCTTAAAGGAACCCTTAAAGAAACCCCAGAACCCCTTAAAGGAACCCGTAAAGGAACCCCAGAACCCCTTAAAAGGAACCCTTACAGGAACACCAGAACCCCTCAAAGGAACCCTTAAAGGAACCCCAGAACCCCTTCAAGGAACCCCTTAAAAGGAACCCTTAAAGAAACCCCAGAACCCCTCAAAGAAACCCCAGAACCCCTCAAAAGGAATCCTTAAAGGAACCCCAGAACCCCTTAAAGGAACCCTTAAGGGAACCCTTAAACGAACCCTGAAGGAACCCTTAAAGGAACCCCAGAACCCCTCAAAGGAACCCTTAAAGGGACGCCCGCACTCGAAGGTCTGAGTCGCCTTGAAGACGCTTGGCGCGTGCATTCCGACATCGAGGCCCGGTGTTATCCGAGGCCTCAAGGGATATCATTTCGGGTTTAGGGTTAGGTGGGATCATCCCAAAATGTGGGGTTTAGGATTTAGATCGTTTAGGGTTTAGGGTTAGGTGGGGTCATCCCGAAAGTCGGTGTTTAGGGTTTAGGGTTTAGGGGTATATATAGGTGGGGTCATCCCAAAATTAGCGTCCTGATATAAGGGGTCCTAGATCCGACCTACCTCCACCCCACTTGAAAAGCTCCTGTTTCCAAGCCCCACAAGACCAACACGGTTTTGGGTTTCCAGGGGGTTGCTTCAATGTTTGAGCGGTATGTAGGGTATTTCAAGTTTGCTTAGGGCTTTTCGGGTGTAGGCTAAAGCCTTATAAACCCTAAACCCAAAGGGGTTGGCCCTATAAACCTAAACCCTAAACCCTAGACCCAAAGGGGTTAGCCCTATGAATCTATAAACCTAAGCCCTAAACCCTAAACCCAACGGGGTTAGCCCTATAAATCTATAAACCTAAACCCTAAACCTTAAACCCAAAGTGGTTAGCCCTATAAACCCTAAACCCTAAACCCAAAGGGGTTTGCCCTACAAACCTAAACCCTAAACTCTAAACCCAAAGGGGTTTGCCCTATAAACCTAAACCCTAAACGCTAAACCCTAAACCCTTAGGGTTTTGCCCGAAAAAACTTAACCCTGACCCCTAAACCCAAAGGGTTTTGCCCTAAAGCCCTAAACCCTAAAACCCTAAACCCCAAAACCCTAAAACCCTCAACCCCAAAACCCTAAAGCCCTAAAACCCTAAGGCCCTAAAACCCTAAAACCCCAAAACCCTAAGCCCCAAAGGGGTTTGGGCGTGTCTTCCTCAAGGCTGACGCTTCCGAGAGCGAAGCGCTGCCGGACGGAGGGATGCTCGGGGCCGAAGATGCTGCCGAAGGCTTTTTTTTGCGGGGGATTCAGGGTGTTTTAGGGTTTGGGGTTTAGGGTTTATAGGGTTTATAGGGCTTATAGGGTTTAGGGTTTACAGGGTTGTTTTAGCTTCAGGGTTTTGGGGTTGTGGCTTTAGGGTCTAGGGTTTCGGGTTTGGGGATTTGTATGATTTCGGGCTTCGATAAGGGTTTGGGATTTCGGGTCGGTTTCTACAAGGGTTGAGATTTCAGGATACATGTTCACGGATTGGAGTTCAGGGATGTGGGATTTAATTGTGGAGTGAGGTTTTCAGGCTTGGGGTCTGGTGGGGGTCGTGGATTAGATAAATGCACGACTGAGGTTGAAGTTTTAGGATCGGGCGATTCCATACATGTAACTGCGTAATTGTCCGAATCAGCGTCTACATGGGATTTAGCAAGTTCTGATGTGTAATTTCCACGCTGATATGTGCTCTCACCAGCTGATGTGCGATAACCCCAGCACCTTGTATCACGATTGCTATAACTCCAATCTAAACCATCAACTCCAAGCTGTAGGCCTCCGTTGTCCTAGGCCATGAGAAGGGACAAGAAACCCGCAATCTAATCTCATCTTCTTCCGGCTATATGGATATATCCTTCATGGTTGCGGTTTCCGTGCTTCAGGTTGCTTCAACAGCGTAAGGCGGACATACAAAACCTAAACCCTAAACCCTAAAGCGTAAACCATTCACCCTGGAGCCTGATCAAAGAGAATCAAAATGCCGGAGGCGCAACGGATACAGAGGCCGTCGTAGCACCGAATGCTCTTTGGACGATTATGTTTCGGTAGCCGTACGCGGTTAAGGCATTTTGGTTTCAAGATTGAGGACATAGGACTTAATTTGAGTTTTAGGGTTTAGGGTCCTGCAAACCAAGCTGAACCTTATATTCTTTGTATTAATATGGGTCTTTTCAGAGGCAGCTGTATGCTCGTGATCTGTGTCTGGCACATTGCAGCCCACCCACGAGTCGCATAGTGGCAGAAAAAGTAACGACAACGACATGATGCTCGTAATGATGCTTCCAGTCGTTGCTGTTAGTATTGTTGGAAATCTACGTGCGAAGAAGTTGATTATGTGTTCAACGCCCGCTTGCAATGCGAGGTGTAGCAAATGCTCCTAGCCTGCGATAGACGCTTCGCACTCTGCGAAACCACCATCAGTAGACCTTTCCTGTGCGAGGGAACGCAGCAACTGGGACACTGGTGTAAGGGGCATACTGACACGGCCGTGGCAAGCAAACGGCAAGATCGGGAGCATTGGCCACTTCCAATCGTGCTCCCAAGGGCTGTAGATCGTCGTCTCAGAATCCGAAACCTCACCCCTCGCCAGCCTGTCGCTGAGCTTCACAGGGAGTCCTGTACAGACATATGATCTGGGTGGGGTAGCTATGGCGTCGTTAGACGTGGCTTTGCAACAATGTGGCACATGTACTAGACCTACGCAGAGCAGGCCGAGCCCAAACAAGCCCAACAAGCCAGCAATCGCTCGATCCCTCCCGAATCCTACTCGCAGATCCAACGCTGCACAGATCCGATCCCGAAACTTCCTTCAAGAGATATGTATGCGATTTGGAGGCCTGTAGATGCTTACTTGTAGGTGGGGCTGGGCTGTAGGTCCGCATAAATTCAAGCCGCATATAAACAATGCTTGGCAGCCGACCACAACTCCCCATAAGTTAAGTATGGACTTCACACAGGGCATATCGTGCTTTAGAAGATCACGGTGTAGGCAGAGGTCTGAGAATGTAGCCTAAACCCTAAACCCTCAACCCTAATCCCTAGACCCTAAGCCTTCAACCCTAAACCCTCAACCCCAAACCCTAATCCCTAAACCTTAAGCCCTCAACCCTAAACCCTCAACCCTAAACCCTAATCCCTACCCCAAAACAGGGGTTTAGGGTTTAGGGTTTAGGGTTTAGGGTACCCCAAAACAGGTCCAAAGTCCTGGACTTCCCTCAACTGTAGGCGCGGCAAGCCTTCCTCGTACACAGGATGCCATGGAAGCAGAATCCCATCCTCCGGTGATCTGACCCGCTATAAACCCTAAACCCTACACCCTAAACCCTGAACCGTATAAGCCTGAATCAGGTGATATGGCTGAAGTACGAGCCTTTGGTCTGCCATGTCGCCTGCAGGAGCTGGTTGGGGGCTACCAGGTGCCTTCGGCAAAGAACGCTTCGAACTGGGGTTCTTAGGGCGGTTAGAGTTTAGGGTTTAGGGATTTAGGGTTGAGGGTTTAGGGTTCAGGGTAAGGTATTTTGGTTGCGGATCGTAGTTATCTAGGTTAATATTTGAAGGGTATATGGGTAGTTCTCTAAATTAGGGTCCCTTTTTAGGTCCCCAACAAAAATACGGCACCCTTATACAAAGGACCCTAAAGGGGACCCTGATTTAGAGAACGACCCACATGAATGATTAGGTACTTAGACATCTAGGGTTGGGGTTGAGGAATTGAGAATTCTGATGTGAGTATAGGGCATTATTAAGGGTTTAGATGTGGGGTTCAGAGCTCAGTGTGTAGAGTCGGGGGTTTAGGATTTACATGTAACAATCGTAGGGTCTTGTTTTTTTTTGGGTGGTTTATTTCTCTGCTGACATCATGCTACAACCGGTTTGAACGGAAGAGGGTGCCTGAGTACTACTTTAAACTACCACAACCTACTTGTTTGTGGCTCTTCTTGTAAACATTTGTATGGAATTTATAGGGATACTACACAAAAGTAGGTTTTGGTAGGTTAAGGTATGTAAACCCTAAACCCTAAACCCTAAAATGTTAGATGTTGTTTTCGAAGCTGGCCTCTGGAGAGACCGGTGTATGATGTTCCGGGAATGAGACCGTACTGCAGTATCATTCTTCAGAGCTGTACTACGGCTGATGATAAAAATCTTGCATTACCCATAAAAAGGAATATACCATAAAACCTATAGTTTAGGGTATAAGGTAGTGCAGGATTTCGATCATCAACAGTATGTTGTTGCGGTGCTTACGGTAAGGAAGACAAACACGGCGCAGCAGTATAACAAGAGACAGACGTACAAGCAATATAGAAGTCGAACATGAAAGCCCTGATCTCCAAACCCTCGACCCCAAACCCTCTTGAATTCCTTTCCTAAGAATGATTTTGGCTCTTTAGGGTTTAAGATTCATGTTTAGGGTTTAGTGCATGGGGTGTATTTTCCTCATTGGTGTAGTTAGTATCAATTAGTACTACAGCCGGTTTACGCGGAACACAGTTATGGATTATTCCAGTCTGTGTCTACATGAATACGATATTATATATATATACATATATATATATACATATATACATATAAATATAAATATATATATATACACACATATATATATATACATACACACATATTAAGTACGTATTGTTCTCCTCTAAGGAGACCCAGAGAGCCTAGTGGCCCTCTGATGAAGAGAGCTTCGGGCATTACGGGTTTCTGGGTTCCCTAAGGCCCTTGTAAGGTCGTATCACAGCTGAAACTCGATACAAACACCTTTCGAAACCTAAGCCATAAGCCCTAAACCCTAAACCCTGAACCCTTCTTTGGACAAATAAAACAAAATCCATGCAACTTTTCCTTGCAGCGAAGGCTGATCGAGCTGAGCCGCCCAGCATTTCCGCGCAGCTCCCTGCTGTCATGGAAGAAACGCTTCGTGGTGCAGGTGGGTTCTGCACCCTAGGCCCTATCACCCCTACCAAAAATTGCCCCGGATCCATGAGCCTAAAACCTTCTACACTCCGTAACCCTATGCTTCCAAGGACCTTATAGTTAGGGCCCTAGACCCCTTAAAGACCCAATAATAAGGTCCCTGGAAGCCCAGGGTAAGCAAAAAGCCATCTCAGAACCTTCACATGATCTCCAAAGCCCTACAGCCCTAAAGTGATCGCAAAGAAGCCATACGACGATCGGAGAGGACCCTTTACCGATACGTCCTGAACCCAAACCCTAAACCCAGAATCGTCAAAGGAAGTCGGCGAAGGTCATCAGGACCTTCGAACCTCCAGCCGCCCTAGCCGCCCGCATCGAAAGATACTCTCCTAGAAAACCAAAGCTCGCCAAAGCCTCCATGAAGAAGCAGTTCAAATAACCAGCTCCTAAACCATAAACCCTACGCCCTAAAAGGTGATCGGAGAAGATCATCTTGACATGCCCGTGGCAGAAGTCCTTAGCGATGGGGCCCTGTCCTGGTTTGGCGGCCCGCGACTTCGGCAGTTCCTCCAGGACGGAGCTTTGGGGGCTTTGAGGGTTTAAGGGCTTCGGGCTTTGAGGGTTTAGGGCTTTTCGGTTTTAGGGTTTTAGGATGTTTTAGGGGTTTAGGATGTTTTAGGATGTTTTGGGGCTTAGGGTGTTAGGATGTTTTAGGGTTTAGGGTTCTAGGGTGTTGGATTTTGGGTGTTTTAGGGTTTAGGATGTTTTAGGATTTTTGAGGTTTTGGGGTTTTGGGTTTTGGGGTTTATGGTTTCGGGATTAGATTTAGGTTTGAGTGCTTCAGACATGAAAGGTGTCCTTTCAGGGCTCTATAAGGGTTCTATGGGAGGTTTCGGGAAGGACGAGGGGGGCGTGGGGCAATATACAATATAAGTATCAGATTCGCTTGAATACTAGTATAGATAGGGACGGACCCATCTGAATAGGTGCGGGGGTTTTAGAGCTTCGGGCTGTGAGGCCTTCGGGTTTTAGGGTTTAGGTTTTTTGTTTTTGCTGTTGTCGGTTTTTTGGGGGGTTTTGGGGTGTATGTTTTGGGGGGTTGGGGTGTATGGCTTCGGGATTAGATTTAGGTTTGAGGGCTTGGGATGTCTACTCGAAGTGTTATGGGTGCCTGCAAGCAGGGTGAACAGCAAGGTAATTCCCAACCTGTGCGGTGGAGCAACCATGCAGGTCTTTTCCAACACTTCCTACACCTGCATGATCCATGAGCTCGTACCTGGAGATTCCACATTCAGAGGCAAGCGAGCACAGGACGCAAGCCCAACACAACACACACAGCCTCGGACAGAGGCACAGAGAACGGCCACCCGAGACTCCCAAACCTCTTCTTTTAGGGACTACACCTTAGGTTGTGTTCAAAACGGATGGCCATCAAGTAAGGTACACCCCTTAATCAAGATCAGGGGCCTTGGAGTCTTTAGGAATTCATTCTACGATGCTTGGCGATGGCTGTTCTTGGCTGCACCTTGTATAAGTCCCTTAAGTAGGTTTATCCGACTTATAACCTTACTTACACCTTGCTCAATAACATCAATAACAGCCTTACCTACTTATACCCTTACTCATAACCTTGGACAGGTTACAGCAACAAGTTATATGGTGATGATGAGGATGATGGTGGTTAGTCTTCAGAGCTTATAGGGCTAGGGATGACGAGCTCCTTGTTTGGGCTTCGGGTTAATAGGGCTTAGGGTGAACACTCAGCCCAAAACCCTAAACCCTAAACCCCCAAAAGGAGACCATCTTGCAGCAGAAGTTTGCCAAGAATCTCTCCCGGACAGAGCTCTGGCGCCATTCACTGCTGGATGGACTGCGATGACTCCTCCAAGGGCCGAATCCCGGAATTTAGAGCTCGGGTCGGGGGTTCTGAAAACCAGATCGGTTTAGGGTTTAGGGTTTAGGGATTTCGATGAGGGTCCTACAAGATTTCTATAAGGATGTGCTTCCGGCTTCGTCATAGTACGGTCTGCGGCTTTAGACGGATTCAGGGGGTTGGCAGGGTCGGCAGGATGTCTTTTCTCTCCCCTCACGTCTACACTTGAGACGAAAACGACAACAGCTCTCACGATTCTCCCTAAGGACGGAATGAACCCTAAAAGGGTTTAAGGTTCATATACCATATAGGGACCCATAGTATGTGGCTACATGGGGCCCCTACTTTTACGGGTCATTTCGTCCTTAAGGCTGAGCCCAGGAAGTTCCGATTTCGAACCACTCTCCGACATGCGCGTGAGCGCTTCCTGAGCTGCGCTGCCTGAACAGAAATCCACAAAGCTCTCCGTGGATTTAAAGGACTCGGAAAGATTCCAACCGGAGGCTTTGTCTGAGAGAAGAGCGCAGGAAAAATGATGGAGAAGCTGAGCAGGTAACCTAAACCCTAAACCCTAAAACCCCTAAAGCCTAAACCCCTATCCCTAAATGCAACCTCTGTGCGGTTTCGGTCTTCGAGATGGGGCTATGTAACACCCTTATGCCAGGAGATCCTAATACCCCTTATTTAAGGAATATACCTTAAATTATAGGGGCCTTAATATGATGATTTAGGTTATATTTGTTAATTAAGGGGTGTTGGGCTCTCTGGGTGTGCCAGGAGATCCTAACAATCGGGAAGGAATATACCTTAAATTATAGGGGCCTTAATATGATGATTTAGGTTATATTTGTTAATTAAGGGGTCTTGGGCTCTCTGGGTGTGCCAGGAGATCCTAACAATCGGGAACCTTGGCTTTGCTTTGGCTCTCCAAACTTGTACGGTCCATCTTCCAGCCCTGCAATCTCTACATCCTGAAAAATGGAAACCTGATTTAAGAAACCCTGGGTATCCTGGGGCTTTTATGAATAGGTTTTTATATGAATCCTACTGCATTGGGGTTATAGGGCCAGGGTTTCTTAATCAGCATCCGACATTACCCATCTCTAAATCCTTAAACCCGAATCCATAAACCCTATAGACCCTACACCCTCAACCCTAACTCCCTCCGGAGCCCTGGGTTTAGGGTTGAGGGTTTGGAGTTTGGGGTTTGGGGTTTAGGAGTTGGGGTGTAGGGTTTCGGGTTTAGGGTTTAGGGTTTAGGGCATAGAAGCTTAAGGTAACTTTTCTTACTTACTTAAGGAACCTTTTGATTATCGGTTTTTGTAGGGTCCAGGTATACCCCAAAAGGGCCCGCAAGATTGCGTTGCAGTGAAGCAGGGGCAGTAAGCCAGGTTTGCGTAAGGAAGACGTTGGCTGTTAAAGATCTTTGGGTTTAGAGTTAAGTCTTTTCGATTAGGGTTTAGGTAAGTTTAGGTAGAGGGTGAAGATTAAGGCTTTCAGGTGCTTTTAGCCTTTGGCTACTTGAGGTTTCGCTGAAGTTGTCATTGTAATTTGGGTTTAGGGTATTCTACCTGGTGTATTTATGGCTCGTTGCTGGCTGGTGCGGGGCCACGAACTCCCCTAGACCCGAAGCTCGTTAGCCTCGAACCCTGGATCTTCAGGGTGTTGGGTTTAGGGTTTAGGGGATTAAGGTTTATAGGGTTTAGGGTTTTCAGTGAGGGTTGACCGTCCAGGCGCTGAAGCACTGAAACGTCAGCTCGACAACTCATCCCTACACCCTCCAACCCTAAACTTCAAAACCTAACCCTAAACTTCAATGCCTAGCCCCTAAGCACCTCGGGTTTAGGGTTTCGGCTTTTGGTCCACACCAAACCAACAAACGTTGTCGCTGCTGGATCGACGATTGACGGTGTTCGTTGTCATGGCCTGCGCAACACCCTAGACAATAAAACCCCTGAACCCTTGAACCCTAAACCTTAAAATCCCTAAACCCGAAAACCCTCAACCCTAAAACCCCCTAAACCCTTGAACCCGAAACTCTCAATCAAAGAAGTACACTCTAAGGGCCCCGAGCCACAGACCTCGAGCCCCCTGCTAAGGCCTAAGAATCTCTAGGCACCCCTTTACGGCCTAAGAATCTCTAGGAACCCCCTTAAGGCCTAAGAAGCTCTAGGAACCCCTTTAAGGCCTAAGTATGTACTATATGGGCACGTGGAGCCTTAGGGTATATGCAAGCCCCAACGCCTCAAACCCGCAACCAGTAAGCCCCGGTTGCTTAAAGGATTTGGTAGAAACAGAGCCTATAGGCCTAAACCCTTAACCCTAAGCCCCTAAACCCTCAACCCCTAAACCCCTAAACCCCTAAACCCCTAAACCCTTAAACCCTAAACCCTTCACACAACTCAGCATATAAAAAAGCGAAACCGTGGCCAGGTCCCGAAGCAGCAGCCGCTGCACAAAGCGAGGCCTGCCCCCATGAGCTCTGATAGACCAGCCCAAACCCTTAGCATCAAAGGACCCATATTTTTAAGGCTTTTGGGCCCAAAGCCCTATTATACAAGGCTTTTGGGCTATTTTGATGCTAAGGGAAAGGGTCCTAGGTACTGTTATGGGGGATAGATACTTGCCCAAATCATAATAACACTTCCTAAGAAAGGAACCCTACATTATACTATATAGGTACTTTGGAGCCTTTGGGCAGTGCGCGGAAAAGGGACAGAAGAACATTTTAAGCGGACATCCCTAAGTCATTGGGCTTCACGTGGATTTCTACGGGACATCCCTATCCTAAGCCTAAGCCTAGTTTTTGCTTATCTGCCTTTTGGGGGGGCCTATAATCCCTATAATAAACCCTAAACCCCAAACCCTATAATCCGTGTAATAAACCGGGATCCGCGATTTTGGGACTGAAGGTTGCCTGGATCCTTCAAGATTTCGGTTTTAGGGCTTCGGGTTTAGGGCTTTGCAGGATGCAAGCTCTGGGGCCTCTACCCCCAGGCCCCTAAGTAGTCCCTTTTTATGGCTCATATTCAGAATCCTAAAGGGTAACCCCAAAAAGGAACTACTTAGGGGCTTATGGGTAGGGGGTTTAGGGTTTAGGGTATAGGTCGGACTCGGACTGCGCAAAGTCAGTAGTCTGACGTCGGAACCGCGTATTGCGGCTGACCCAACTAAAGCACGCAAAGCAAACGGAATCAGACTCACGAGCTTCTCGAAAAATAGCGTCAAGTGTCTCAGCGCGCTTGCTGTAGACAGCTCGGAAAGAGCTTGTTTGGCGAGCCTAAGAAACTCCTGTCCTGTACAGCTTCGCCCGTCTATGCCGAGGGCCTGGATGTGCAGGAAGTGCTCTGCGGAGACGCCGCTGGCAGTGGCCCGGGGAGCTAGAGGAGGTCGTCAGGCATGAGTGTATCCGACTTGGAAGTATCGCAAACAGGAAGTGGCCTGAAGTGCAGGCAAGCGAGGAGGTGGTGGCCACAACATGGCGAGTCTTGGAGCACATGCCGTAGCAACCTCGACCTTGTCCAAAAAGTAGTCAGACAGCAAGGGCATTTGTCATGAGGGACATGTCGTGCCAGAGAGGTGCACTCGCGATGTTGTGCCCATTGGTGTTCACGCAGGGTATGTAGGTCCGGAAAAGACCGAGCACACTTGCTGCAGCTAAAGAGACCCTCGCCGCATGCCGCAGGGTCTTCAGTGTGGTTAACACCATCTGTGGGGCTGTAGGACCACGTGCTTTGTCACGACGCAGCATTCCCTTCAACAAAATCGGCAACTCCCTTGGCAACAGGGACTGGCAGACATCCTCAGGCGCATGGTCTGGCCTTTCATAATTGTTGACCAATGATCAGCTGCTCGAGAGGCGGCAGTGTGGGTGCGAGTGCAAGGATGTGCCAAAGCCACGGCAGCGACTCATGCCTCAAAAGATCGAAGAATGAGGCCGGTAGTGCCAGGTTGGCGCCATTACAAGCAACCTTGGCAATCTGATCGGCAAGCTCGTTAGGGGGAATGCCGGGATCCCAGTTCAACTCGGTCGGGCACGGTCGTCGTTCGAGGGCCTGCCATACACAGCGACATGCCTGAAGCAAGTGCTTGGTACTGCAATCGGCCTGAGGAGAGGCACGCCCAGCGGCAACATCGACGACACTCTGGCAATCGCTCCACACACAAATCCTCAAAATTCCCTAAGGGTCCATGTGCCCAAATAGTATATACATTGGCCCTAAAGTACCTATATAGGGACTACATTAAGGCCAATGTATATACTATTTGGGTACATGGACCCTTAGGGGTTATCAGGCCAGGAGAGTGCCCAAACCGCAGCAGCGAGGGCGGCCTCAGCATCCACATTGGTTTCGGAGCTATTGGGACAGCGTGCAGCACATGGCGCCGTGCGGCCCATGAAGTAGTAGAGGTCGACGTTTTAGGGTTTCGGGTTTGGGGTGTAGGGTATAGGATTTTGTGCTTTAGGCTTTGGGGTTTATAACTCTAAACAGGGGGTTGCAGTGCAGGTCTCAAACAGAATCGCCTACATGCCAACCCCCTCGTATTCCCACATATTCAACCCCAAAACCCGAAAAGAAAAACACCTTCAACGGTGAAAGTGCAGGCTGCACGACCTTTGCCGAAGTCCGCCTCACTGCCCACTCTCCGGCAACGACCTCGGAAATGAGGTTGTGAGCCGCGCTTTAGGAGTTCGGCGTTGAGGTAGGACTCAGCATATAGTGTTGAGGGTTGGGATTTAGGATTTCGGCTTTTGGTAGAGGTACCCAGAACTGCCCCTGAAGCCTGAAGCCCTAAACCATCGGGGTTTTTGGCCCACCACTTCTCCCCCGATCGAACTTAAACCTCAGAAGCCTAAACACTGAGCACAGAAGTGTGGGCTTCTTGGTATACTCAGATGTTTCCCCGTTGGCTCAGGGCACTGCGCTTGAGAGCCGCTAAAACAAATCAGGGTATATGATTTAGGGTTTGAGGGTTTAGTTTAGGGCTGCGCATTTAAGAGTTTA